AGGACACGCAGGATGCAGGACTCTACATGTGACACACAAGACACATGGGACAAAGGACCCTCCAAGTGGCACACAGGATACACGGGACGCAGGACCCTCCAAGTGACACAAAGAACACACAGGACTGTCTAAGCGCGAGCGTGGCCCTCACGCTGGCCATCTTACTCCTGTGATCCGGACTCTCACACATCCCCAATGTACAAACAGGACACCACCTTTCCAACTGCCCTCCTAAATGACCGAGTGGTTTGGGCACAAACACAATTTGATTTAATTCATTTGTCAGTGACCGTTCTCTTTATAACTCACACATTTTGGGGACTGACAGTTCCCATGAAAAGTTCGTTTCTTTATGTCAAACTGAGATTAAGTCTCTTAGATTAAGTCTCTTAAAGAAAAAACATAAAATTCTGTGATATATCAAAACCAGTGCAAAAAGGAAATGACAACCCAGTTAAGTACCCCACATTCTGTAAAAGTCACCCTATTAATGGAACTTTTTAAGTTCAAAATAAAGGCTCAGCTCAATTATAAGAACATCAAGTACTTTTAACATTAATGACAGACATCTGCTGACAGATCCCGGGAGTGAGTCCTCAGCCAGGTGACAACCAACGTGCTCCACCAGCCTCTGCGCCCGCAGTCTGAGCGGCTCTACCACCTGTGCGGTCTGCCTGATCGCCTCCTCGGAGAAGCAAGAACGAGCAAGCACCGGCCACCAGGGCCTCTGAAAAGAACCTCTGGTCAATTCTCCACAAGGGCCCGAAGCTGCTCCCCTCCTCGATTTTCTTATTGTACTGAAATCCACATATATAAAATTTACCATAGTAACCACTGCTAAGAGCACAGACCAGTGGCCTCACATAGTCACACTGCTGTGCAGAAACCTCCTCCACCTCTGGACAGTCACCACCCCAGCTGAAGCTCCATCCCCATGAAATGCTAACTCCCCTCCCTCAACAGACCCCCAGAGCCATCGCCTTTCTGTCTCTATGAATTTAACTACTCTGGCACCTCATGTGAGTGGAATCATTCAGTATTTGCCCCTTTGTGACTGTCTTATCTCAGAGCATAACTCCCTCATCCAGGTTCACCCATTCTGTGTGGACAGACCACACCTCGCTCACCTACTCTCCTGTCAGAGGACCCTGGGCTGCCTCCATGTTCTGCTGCTGTGAACATGGATATACCAGTCTCCTTTTCTTCCAATTCTTCTGGGTATATACCGAAAAGTGACATTGCTGGATCAGGTAGCGTTACATTCCTCACTCCTGGAGGGATCTCGTCCTGTCTTTTTCAGTGGCTGCACCATTTTTCAGTCCCACCAGCAACACACAGGGTTCTCATTTCTCACACACTCACCAACACCTGCTTTCTTGTTTGTGGGGGGCCTAAGCCCCTGAGAACTCTTTGGCATTTTTTTTCCTGTCTCTGAGCACTACTCCCAGTTAATTATTCCCACTAACAAAATCTGTGGCACTCACATTAACGACACAACAAACCCCAGTCAGCAGACCAGCACCACGTGAGGCCTCTCCTAAGCCTGCTGCTGGGACGCACTTTAAGGCCACTACCAAAGAACAGAGAGGCCAGGCAAGTGCAGTCAGAGGGTCACAACTAAACTCACCTCTGCCAGGCCAGGGATCTAAGAAAGTTGTAAAAATGCTGAGAATGCATCTCCAACCTGTACGGATGCCCTGTCATGGGTTATGTGGGAGGGGGCGTGCGTCAACATGGCCAACGTCTGGACGTAAGGACTTGTCCTGGCTGTGTCATAACCCTGACACAGTGGGGAAGGGCAGGTCAGAGGCTGCTTAGCACATCCTAGCCTCCTGTCATTCTATGTTTCTGTTTCTTTTCAAAAACTAAAAATGAGGCCTGCCTGTCTGTGATGAGGACTGCTGCGGTCTGGCTGACACTCCCTGGTGGCCTCTCAGAAAGGCCCACTCCCAGCACCTTCCTCATCTACAGTCAGCACTGCCAGCCTGCGAGACTGAGACCTCAGCACTGATTTTTTTTTTTTTTTGAGAGTCTCATTATGTAGCCCTTAGTAGAGTGCTGTGCCATCACAGCTCACAACAACAGAATCACAGCTCACAGAATCACTTGGGGGCTTAAGCAATTCTCTTGCCTCAGCCTGCCAAGTAGTTGGGACTATGGGCACTGGCCACAACACCCACCTGGCTATTTTTTTTGTTGCAGTTACCATTGTTGTTTTAGCTGGCCCAGGCCAGGTTGGAACCTGCCAGCCTCGGTGTATGTGGCCAGCACCCTACCTACTGAGCTCCAAGTGCTGCTGAGACCTCAGCACTTAGAAAGCTCAACAGTGGGCAGCAGGGTCTGCATACAGCCAGGCAGGGCAGCTCACAGCCCATGCCAGATACACCCAGATGTGACAACTGATGCCAGCAAGTAACCAGCTCCTAGAGGCTTCACCCCGCTCCTGGGGGCATCGCCCAGCTCCCAGCGGCATCGCCCAGCTCCGGGGCGTCACTGCCATTGTTAGGTTGTCATCACTATTACTACCACTCCTCACTACATCACCCCTTCCATTTTAATTTTACATGTATGACTAAAACATAATGAAAATATTTCTATGTGAACAAGAGAGAATTAGCTGGTCACTTTCAAGTCAGTTCCAGCCCTCCAGCTCAATCATGTGGCCCCAGAGTGTGACCTGCTCCAGGACCACGGCAGGCCTGACCTCTGGCCCCTTCTGTGCAGGGTAGGAGATGGGCAGCATGCCCTTCCTGTCACAGGCCGGGGTCCAGGGACCACTCTGCAGACATAGGCAGACCACAGCAGCAGCCATGAACAGATACTTTCCCCTTTTCTGGCTCAACTACCTAGGTTCTTGCTAAGTTTCTTCTTCAGATTAAGTTCAGATTTGGTTTATTTCTTACCTTACTACTACACAAAACTACACAGACAAGAATATCAAGGAATGCCAGGAGTGTGGGGAGGGAGGAGGCACGGTGGAGCATAGAGGGTTCTCAGGGTAGGGAAACCAGTCTGCATGACCCTTCCTGCTAGACACAGGTCAGTATGCTCTGTCCAAACCCACTGACCATACAACATTGAACTTGAACTTCAATATGGACTGTGGAATGAGCCAACAACAATGTACTGATACTGCTTCATCAGCTGGGCCAAGGCAGCAGACAAAGCAAGATGTCAGTGATGGCAGAAACCATTAGGGAGAGAGGGTCTACCAGAAAGCCTGCAACCTTCAGTTTTGCTATAAAACTAAAGGTGTTCTAAAAATATAAAGTCTCTTATAACCAACGAATACTATTAAAAACAGCACTAAACACCAGATTTTTGTTACAAACATGATAAACACCAGATATTACAAACACGGCTTGTGCCTTTACATTAATACCAGGTGTTCCCTGGCACTCTGGAGCTGGATAAGGAAAAGGCACTGGAGGGGTCAAACCAGCCGAGTGCTAAGGGTCACAGCCAGGTCAGCACCCGAGAAAGACGACAGGAAAGCAGCACCATCTGCCCTCTCCTGCCTCCACCTTCACTGGCTTCAGCAACTCTGATCTGTTTGCTTTTTACGGTGTTCCCACGTTGCCCTGTACTGGACCAACTAGAGACAGTCTGTGCACAGGAAGGACGCCCCCATGCCATGAGCCCCTTGTGGTGGAACTCGAGGCTACAGGGTTGGAAAGAGCAGCACGTGGAAAAGATACCATGTTGAAAAGAACAATAATAGCTCAAAGAAGAAACAGGACAGCGTTTCTGAGAATGGAGAGGAGCAGGACTTACCACACGCTGACTCTTACTACACAATTTATGTTGTAAATCTTCACTGGAGATTTATGATTCTACAAACAATACTCCCTTGGCTTCCATCTTACAAATGAGAATCCTAAACTTCAGGGGCTATGAATCAACCTCAAGCCTGTCAGACTGCATATCCGCAGGGCTTCCACTCCACCAGAGGGGCAAACCCACTAGACACAAGCCCCTTCTACTTCTGTGATGCTGGCAGGCACCACTGCCAATCATAGCATTCTTCCCCTGAACCAGGCTCCAAAATCCTTCTCAACCCAACACCCAGTGCTGCCAAATCATCAGTCACCCGAACACAGATGTCTCTGCCACCCACTCATCAGACCACACAGCAGGGAAGCAGCTGGATTTTGAGAAAGTGAATTTATAGCGAGACAATTGTGACCCTGTGAGCTTCTCTAGAGTATCCTATAGCTCCCCAATGTCAGCAGAGAAAACAGACACTGGAAGGGATAATGTAACAAAGATCAGAGGAAAATGGACAGGGCAGCAAAGGTGTAACAAGAAGAACCAACAGGATGCCAGAATTGGGACAGAGTGGGACAGAGAATAACCGTAGGTGACCATGAAGGACATAAACAAATTCAGGGAACAAGGAGAAATAAGAATTTGGGAGCTGGTCCCAATATGCATTAGAAAGGAAGTTAGAGAAGAGAACAGGCGTATTTAGGCAGGACTCTAATCTCGACATTCTCTCCCCAGTAGCCACACTCACGGATTGTCTGATTCAATTCATCTTCATTGTAGAGTGTAGAGTAGTTAGACCCACTCAGAAAAGAATAATTCATGTGCCATTTTCAGTTTGTCAGTATAAGTCCCAGTAAAAACACAGCCTCATAGATTTTCTGAGAACTATGAAAAACACACCCTAAAACATGGTTTAAAAAGCGAGTTTTAAAAGTTGATATGATTTACCTTAATCTCAGAGTCTCAAGAGTATAAAAAGCACAAAAATGACAAAGATAAACTCCTATTTATAGATAAACCAGAACTACAACTGCAAAATATTTATTATGTATTTCAAGGGATAAAAACGAAAAATGGATACAATTAGCCTTTCTAAAAACTGTAGAACTTCAGAGTTCTAGGGTGCTCAAAATGTGGGGAGAATTTAAATCTTATACATGAATCTTTTATTTCTTGTGAGTTACATAAAAGTTCTTAAAGCTTAGCTCACTTTTACGAGATCATTTACTTACCTCTTTCTGACGACCTACAAATCTAATTTTTCTGTAGTCTTTATCATCATAAACCTAGGGGGAAGGAAAAATACCAAATATTATTTTTAGAGCTTTATTCTAAAAGTAGTCACTTAAAATCAATAAGTATTACAAAAAAAGTGTTTTTCTTAACTTTTAGGCCACCGATAATTAATCAAAACACATGAGGGTCAGTGTGTCATTAGGGACATTTTTCAGCAAGATACCAGCAGTGATAAGGGATGGTAATATCAACTCAAAGACAGAAGTCTGGGTAGCGCTGAGAGGTGGCCCGGGAAGGTAGGGCGGAAAAGAGACAAATCCTGACGGAGGCCGACCCCATCCCTGCCTTCCTTCACACACGTATTAGTATACAGATACCTCCTGCCCTAGACTACAACAGACTCCTCGGGTTGTTAAAGGTTATTATTCGACATCACGCAGTCAAAGCACTGGTGGAGCAGACGGCCGCGGGGAGCCCTCTGGGGACACCCGGCTCAGCGTCTGCCGGCCATGGCGCTGGGATCATCGCCGTCCGGACAGGCGGCATCCACGGGGTGAGCGTCTCACCGGATGAGACTGCGAGGGAGGCCCAGGCGGGCCGCGACCCGCGCAGGACGAGGCGCAGACCCAGAGGGTACCTCCAGGGTACCGGCACCTCCAGGTCGCCCCTCTCCGCGGCTCGGGTGCCAAGTCCAGACGTTACCTGGCCAGTGTGCGTGACCTTCTCCCCGGTCGGCGAGGTCCGCACCCCAAAACACCTGGCGCCCCTGGGCAGACTCTGGGCCACCGTGCCGGCCGGACCCAGCAGCCGGCAGAAGGTCGCAGCCGCCGCCATGTTGCGCGGCTGACCTTTGACCCGGCACAACGCAGCGCCTCACGCAGACGCAGGCGCGCGGCTTCCGACGGCGCCCGCGCTCTCGGGACTTATTTCGCTCTGCGCGGGGCGGGGCGGAGGGCGGGGGTGGGGGAACTGGACTGGAGTGTGCGCATGCGCAGTGTGATCGGACTGGAATGTGCAGACTCTGGCCGTAGCCGGCCGTATAGGGCTTTCTAGTGCGTGTGCGATCTTCCGCGTGTGTTTGCTGCCCTGTGATTCTTTTGTGGGAGGAAGACAGGGAGGAAGATAAACTGAGGGAGACATTGTTTATATTCTTATGGTAATCGATAATCCTGAGACGTTTAAATGTCAAATATCTATTGGGTGAAGGGGTTGATTGTTTTACAGAAGAAACTTAAGTGCACTGGATCTGTTCATTCACGTGTGGTTGAGTATTCCCCCCTCAAATGCTTCCTGCAACAGAGCAACCAGTAAAACTACAATTGCTTCTCCCCAGCGTGTAAATACAGTTTCTAAAAGGGCTCATTTTGTTCACAGCTGCCTGGTAAAATCCCAGCTGGCAATTCAGCCCAAACTGGGAACAATTCCCCGCTTGACGGTCCAGCATCGGCCTTTTCTCTGCTGTGGCTGGAGCCTGACAACTAGATGACTCCATGAACAAAACTCTAGAGATAGATGGGAAGTTGGGAAGGTGATACAGAAGAGGGATAAAGTCTACATGAAACAAGCATGCACATAAAGACCTCCTGGAAACGGAAAGATGTCTCAGCAGACCTAGTGATCAGAGCAGATTTCTCCGGGGCCCCACCCTGTGTCCACCTGGGCAGGTGCAGAAGTGGGCTCTGAGATAGCTGTGTGCAAGGAGAAACAGATGTAGCCAGGTCTGCAGCTCACTGACACGTATAAAAAAAGTAAGAGGGATGGGTTCCCTGATAGATACCTGAAATGCAAGTATAATTCAATTCATCGTAGAATCTAAGCGGTGGATATATGGGTGTTCACTGTAAAATTCTTCCTGGTTTCCCTGTATGTTTGAACTTTTCTACAACGGAGAAAGAAAAAAGGTAGTTGTAACCAATTGGGACCATTGTCTATTTCCCCATCTTTCCAACAGTCAATTATAACTAAAAGAAAACCCAAACCCCTTGCCAACTGAACAGACTGCTCTTGGTCAAGGATAGCCCAGAAAAACCTTAAAGCTGAAGTCCTGACCACAAAGGGAAGAGACCTTTTTATACCTCCTTTCTTTTGTAATTTAGACTCAACAACTGACCAGCATTAATGTTGAAATAGAGATAAGAGGTGCTTGGTTTGTTGTGGCAATAAGATACTAAATTATTAGCAGGACCTAAAGCTATGCAGGGTAAAAGTAAATTACCTGCAAGCCATCACTTTGCTTATAGTTCACCTGAGTTGCTATCTTGTGTCTTATCTTCAATAGATTCTTTAACTTAAAATGTTTTGAGCCTTTAGATAAAGCTTTAGTTCTTTAACCAATTACAATCAAAGAATCTTTAAACCATCCTGTAACCTGTATCCCTGTCCCACTTCAAGATGTCCGGCCTTTGGGGGGCAAATCAATGTGTTGATTGATGACTCTATTTGCAATTCCTACCTCTATGAAATGTCAAAAACCAAACTAAGGGACCATCTTGGGACCAACTGCTCAAGGATTCATGGGTTGGCTCCTGCCCTGTTCCCACATACTCAGCTCAGAATAAACCATTTTGTCTTACAGCATTTGAGTTTTTCCTTTTAACACGATACATTTCTCCCAAGATGTACTCTTAAAAAATGGTTTTGTCTGTTTTGTGTGAGGTCTAATTGGTTGAATCTTTTTCATTCTGGGTAACCATTTGCGTTTCCACTTTTGAAATTCCCCTTCTTCCTCTTCACCCAGCGGAAGCAGGCAGGGTTGGGAATAAGGCCACCAACGCAAGCACGCATGCGCCTCGCTCTCCGCGCGGGGGGGGGCTTGTCACGTGATTTTCTCGCCGCCATCTTTCTTCCTGGAGGCGAAGGCCTCCATGCCCGCGTGCGCAGGCGCAGTGCTCGGTGTTGCTGTGTATCTGGGCTCCTTACTACTAGGTCAGGGGTCCAGGGCGTCCCGAAGGTAGGGGTGCGGGGCCCGCGCGGCGGCGAGGGTGGGGCTGCCGGGACCGGAGGGCGGGGCCGGTTACCCCGGAACTGCAGGCCACGGTCGGAGGAGTGTGTGCCGAGCGCGGGAGTCCAGAGACCCTGGCAGGGCCTGCGGGCCTGGGTCAGCAGGACTGCACGAGTGCCTGGGTCCTGACGGGTGGGCTGTGGGCTCAAGTGCGACGCGTTCGCACCCGGTGGTCCCAGGTGAGGCCGTCCCCACTCCGGGTTCGGGTCCTGCCGGCTGAAACTTGCAGCGCCCCTGGCCCTCTTCCCAGGTGTCGGTGGGCCAGCACGGGCGGCCCCGTGGGCGAGGTGCAGAGCGGATGTGACAGCCCTTCTCCCCGCAGACTTGGCCGCGACATGACAACGCTGTTGGTGCGGAGGATGGTGGCCTCAGTCGTGAGCCCCTTGCTCCGTCTCAGTTCCCGCGCCGCGAACCCTCCCGCCTTCTCTATGCTCCTGGCCGGTCCGCTCCGAGGTGCGGGGTCTCTGCTCCTGCGCGGCCCCTTGCCCTGCCTGCAGCCCGCACTGGGCTTCAAGACCAAGGGCGTCCTCAAGAAGCGCTGCAAGGACTGCTACCTGGTGAAGAGGCGGGGGCGGTGGTTCATCTACTGCAAAACCAATCCCAGACACAAGCAGAGGCAGATGTAGCTTCCTCCCCTCAAGAGTAATGCGCAAGGTTACCACGGCTCGAGTCTTTGAGAATATGGTTGTACCTGAGCAAGAGTGAAGACGCCAGGACTCTTACTTAGGGAGTGCCCTAAATGTTACTACTCTCTTCGGTTTTGATGTGCCTTTATAGTTAGTTTATTTGCCAGTTAAAAACACTTTTTCATTAAAGACATCGTCTGAATAGTTTAATTCACTGTGCCTGAGCTTTGCCTGCAGGTAGGTACTGCATAGGACCAGGGCAGTTATTCGTTAACTGTGTGTGAGGATCCTCGGGGCCTCTGTGAAGAAATGGTGACAGTCTAGGTCTCCTGTGTTGCATGATAATCTACCCCAAACTGGGGGGCTTAAATCACCACAATACATTGCTCACAATTTTGTGAGGAGTTTGGGAAGGGCTCAGCTGAGCAGTTTGTGGTCTACATGGTACTGGCTGCAGGATCCACCCCCATGATGGCACCAAAGAAAGATCCACTCTCCTGATGGCCCTGGTGCTGCTTGTTCTATGAGGCACCTCCTGCAGACCTGATCACTGGCCTGCACTACTCAGAGGAGCTTCCCCAGAGACTCAGGAGGACACTGAGTCAAGGCTTCCTATGACTCAGTATAGAAATTTAAAAACCTTAGTTCCACTGCTCTCCTGGTGCAGCAAGTCCCTTGGGTGAACCCAGATAGGGCCTGGGGGAGCAGGCTCCTGCTGGGTGATGGCAACACCTACAAGTTTGAAGACTGCTCCCACAGGGAGGAGGGCTGGGGTGGGTCGGTCTGTTCTGGTCACCAGTGTCAGGAGTTGAGCTAACCCTACGCCTTGGGTCACCAGGAGTGGCTCTCAGGAAGTTGTCAGTGCACCACTTGGGGCTGCTGCCTTGGTCTGGGTTGCCCCAACCAAGCACCTCGAGTCGAGGTTTAGTCAAAAAAAAAATGTTCATTTAGTCTTGGAGGCCAAAAGTCAGATGAAGGTGTCAGCTGGGCTGGTTCCCCTTTTCCTGGCATGTGGACACTCACCATCTCCCTCTGTCCTTATGGGGCTTTGCCTCCATGTGCCTGTGAGTCCCAGTCTCTATAAGGGTCCCGTCCTGTTGGATTAGATCCCACCCCAATGACCTCACTTTACCTTTGTTGCCTCACTAAAGACCCTGTCTCCAAATACAGTCTGTGCTGAGGTCCTGAGGGTAGAACTTCAACTCATGAATTTGGGGGCAGAGGGGTCCAGTCCAGCCCAGAGCAAATGCTTAAATGTAGGGGTGATATTTTACATGTCATTGCTTGCTCCTGGCCAAGGGGACTTACCTACCCATTCAGAAAAGGAGTTCCTAACATTGTGAGGAGGCCTGTGCAAGAACCCTAACAGAAGAATAAGCCCTCCCGGCCAGATAGCAGACAGCCATGGCTACTGCAGGGTGAGAGCTCAGGCCTCCACAGCTGTGCCCTCCTGGCCTGATAGCAGACAGCCATGGCTACTACAGGGCAAGAACTCAGGCCTCCACAGCTATGTCCAGGGTTTCTACAGCCCACAGGCATCTGACCCATGTGGAGAGGGTGGGGGTTGTTGCCTAAAAGGAAAGGGACCCGGGAGCTTTGAGGAGCCTTCTGCCCAGCAGCAGCAAGGAAGCCCTTGCTTGGCTGTTCTTTAATGAAGAGTTGTGCATGCACAAAGATGCCTGTCAAAGTCGTGTCCTCCTGGGAAGTCCACTGTGCATCTGGCCTCAGCAAGAGGAGAGGGTGCTTTTTCCTCAAGGCATACACCTGCACACTGTGTTTTCCCACCATGAAACAGGATTCATGCTTCCCATCCCACTGGGGTGCACCTTGTGGTCAGGACTGGACTGCAGGTCATCTGGGAAGCTACCTCAGAATCCCAACAGGAGTCAGGAGGGTGGAGAGCTTTTCAGACACAGGATATGTGGAATGTGCCCAGAGGTCCCATAAGGGGAAGAGGAGGTTGGGCCCTTTACCTTCAAGTTCTCATCACTCGTGGTTAAAGATCACTTGGGACTGTAGAAAGCTGTCCTGCATAAGCACCTCCGCAGGTGAAGACAAGAGCTTAGGAGTGTCCGAGTGGCAGTGTTGGGGACCATGACAGGATGGAGAGACTGCTGGGTCTGAGTATTGACCCTGTTCCCGCCTCAGCGCCAGGCTTTGGGTAAGACAAGTCTGTGGAGGCCTCATGTTTAAGGGGATTGATCACTACTGTGCCTTCCCTCGGGACTCTTGAGAACCCAAAGAGCTAAATGATTGTGTCCCCCAAACTCGTGCGTTGAAGCCCAATCCTCAATGTGAAGGTTTGGTGAAGTGGGTGATCCAGTTGCGGGGGTTGGCCCTTCACAATGGGGTCAGGGCCTTATTAAAGGAACCTGGGAGCTTCCTGCCCCATCTGCCCTATGAGGGCAGGGCAAGAGCCAGGAGCAGTGGCCAGCACCACAGATTGAGTCAGCTGACGCTCCACCTGGGGCTCCCAGCTTCCCCTGTTTTGGGGCACCAGGGCTGTGGTGTTTTACTGTTGCACTTGAGCAGGCTCAGACCAGGGCTGGGGCAGGGTCTGTTTCTCAGTCACATTTGTGTACTCAGCATTCTCCATAGGGCCTGGCCTGCAGATAGCCATCCAGCAAATCAATGTGGCATCAAATGATCAGCCCCACTATAAACAGGTTGTCCCCCCTCAGTCAGAGCGCCCAGCCCTTAAGACCAAGATTGCAAATTGACAACTTAAGCCTTGGCTGACTGGGCCTGCCAGAGGGTCCCGCCAGCATCTCTGGCACTGGGTTGTGGGCCAGGGAGTGTAACACCAGATTTGTCTGGAAATAATTGTTCAGTGATAGGTAGATGTCTGGGCCCACTGTTACACAGACCTCCCAGGACAACCAGGTGACCCTCTGTGAGCTATCTCAGAACTCAAGCCAAGTCTTATTTCTGAATATTAAATATACAAAGTTGCATAGCATGTGCAAAGTATGTTTTAATTTATGTGAAAACTGAACACAAATCTACATACATATTTTCCCAAGCAAAAATATATAAATGACTTTGTAAGAAAAGTTCTGGAGCAACACAAGCCAAAATAGCGATTGATTTTACTTCCAGAGGGGAGGATAGGCAAGATGGGGATGAAATGGGAGATTCACTTATATGGATCTTAATTTTTTTTTGAGGAGTTACATTTATATATCACTTTTATATTGATACCTGGAAGAAAAACAAACATTTGTTAACACTATGCTTTCGGGAAAGAATTTGAGCAATTTGACAACACAACAGAAAAGCAAAGCAGCCTCCAGAGCTCCATCTCCACCAGCCAGGGGCCCTGGCTTTCCTTTTGACTGTAGCCAGGACTGACACCATGGTCTCCCTGATCAGATTCACCAAGCACCTCACAGCATATTCAGAGCCGTCCCAGCGTCTGAGCTCCCAGGCCTTGGAACAGAGGGAACCCTGGTCCAGGACTCAGCCCAGGAGGGCAGCCTTCTGGACCTGAGCCCTGCCACCTGCATGAGAGCTGCTTCCAGGGGCTGCCTGCAAGGAGGCTGGCTCAGACAGGATGGCACACTCCACCTCCCCTTTGTTAGGGTAGAAGGGGAGCTTAACATAACTAGCTCAGCTTCTTTTCTGAGGTGATATCCTGTGAAACCAGCAGGAGCAAGAAAGAGTGAGACTGCGTCTCTACTAAAAACAGAAAAACTAGCTGAACGTTGTGATGGGCACCTGTAGTCACAGCTTCTTGGGAGACTGAGGCAAGATGATCACTTGAGCCCAAGAGTTAGAGCTATGATGACACCACAGCACTCTACCCAGCAGGGGCTCCCCTGCAGACCCGACTATATATAGGAACGCTCCGATAATGCACATCAAATCACACCTGCACGCCGCTGAAACATTCCTCTGATTGCACACAATTCCCAAGTAGGAGTGATACTTTCCTGCCTTTTATCACTCAGGTTATTTTTGACTTTTTTTTTTTTTTTGCAAAATTTAAATCTTGAAATAATAATGTTCATTTTAAAGCTTTAAGAACTCATTGAACCAGTTTTCTTATAAAAACATTTGTCAGATATGGGGCCTCGTACGTATTTTCTGTAGTTCACCTGAGCGGCAAGATAAGCCCTGGAGTGTCTAATACTTTATTATTGTGCATTACCTGCCTGCCAGCTTTAGAAAGACCCCTCTTTGTTCATCCCAAGTGGAGACAATTATAAGATGAAAAATAGGGAAAAAATAACTTACTTTGTTAATTATACTTCTTTATTAGAGGCCAAATGGTTAAAAAAGGAAAAAATAATGGTATATGATTTTCCTGTGGTTGCTGTAACAAATACTACAAACAAAGGGGCTTAAAACGGTGGAAAACTTTATTGTCTCCAAGTCCTGAAGAGCAGAACTCCCCAATCCAGGTGTGGGCAGGGCAGGCTCCCTTTAGAGGTTCCGGGGAGAGTCCTGCCTCTCCTGGCTCCTGGGCCCCAGGTGTCCAGGCTGCCTGGATCCACCTTTTCCCTCTCTCTAAGGCACTCTCTCCTTCTTATAAGGACACCAGTCACTGGAGTTAGGGCCCACCGTAAACCAAGATGAGCTCATCCAGATATCCTTAATTTAATTACATCTGCAAAAACCCCATTTCCAAATAAAGTCACATTTTAAGTTTCTCAGTAGACTGGAATTTTGGAGGGGGGAGGGCCTGGGATGCTATTAAACCCAGTACAAGTGGTATAAAATAGTTTTTTATATAATTCTAATTTAAATTTGTGTCACTAGATAATGTATTTGCACAGTTCAAAATGCAAAGGACACGTGAGTACTCAGTGAAGTTCTCCGTACTAGAAGGTCCTGCCAGGTCCTCTCAGCAAACACCTCAGCAAAGTCCCCTCCTGGGACTCACAGCCATCACCTGCCATCCCCCTTCCTTCCCTGCCTGCAATGTGAGGGTGTGTCTGGTTCCCACCAGTGACCACCAGCACCCTCGCCCATTCCGCAGGTAGCTCTGTCCCTTGATTTCTTCAACAAGCTGGTACAAATATTGTAATTGTTATTTTTGATTTCCTGCATTTTTCTGCATCTATACAAACCATGTCTTCTCTCTTTCCTTTTTACATTTGTGAAGCATTTTGTTTCCTACTTTATAATTAATGTCGGTGACTTTCAATTAGGGTTAATTATTTTTTCCCCCAAGTTCCCACTTGTCATTTTCTATCCACAATGCGTGG